GAACAAGGTGACCAAGTTTGATGAAGTTTGGAATAGAATTAGTAAAGTTATCATGCACACAATAACAATTATTAACGACGATGACAACGACGACGACGACGACAACGCCGGACAAAATTTTTCCCTTAATATACCTTTCCCTTCCATCTTTGATGGTACGGGCAAGGTAAAAATAAAAATCCACAACATATTTCCATATCATTAAGAATGATTAACAGACTTCAAGGTAAATAACTGAGATGTATATTAACAGCAAGTTTGCAAATTTCAAGAACTAAAATACAAATTGTTTTGACATTAAAAACATTAACAAAGGTAGTTACAAAAATCAAATGTGAGAAAACCAGAGGTCCACTCAAGTAATCATATCAACAGTCAGACAGTCAGTTTTTAATTAGCATATTCTCAAATATCAGGTTTGACTAAAAGTGAGCAAAAATATATAACTGTAAATAAATCTGTGATAGCATGGTGACATTAAAACAGTTATTATTAAAATGATGTTCTTTGACATGTTAAAATATTTTACGAAATTGTGGAATAGATACATGTATGGTCATCACAAGTTTGATTATTGTGTGTGTTGTGTAATCACAAACATACATGGAGAATTATTAACTATTTTTATCACTTTTACTTATTTGGTTCAATCTTTCTCCATGTATCAGGTCCTGTTATTTCATACTCGTCAGTTTTGTAACCCATTAGATGATTAACTCTGTGGTGATGTACAGCATCATATATTGATGGCACCACCCTAGATATTGGTTTCACCTTGGCCATCATGCAAAGTTGGTCATTATAGTCCCACTGCATGTTTGACATACGATGAGCGTAGCGATTTGGAAACTGCAAATCATTCAGTCTCCAATTGTAATCTTTTTCTATATCTTTTTCCATCTCATGACGACTTGGTAGTTGCTGTGAGCCGTCTAGAATAGACATTATGAATAAGGCCTGACAATCAAATTGTGGAAATGGACATATCACACTACATATTCCTATAAAAGACAGATATGGAAACTGTGTGTGTATTGCATGTTTGTATAGTGATGTCACTCGAGAGTCAATCACTTGTACATTACACTCGGGGGATAAAAAGGGAAAAGAATATTTGTAACCAGTACAAAGCATTAAGACATCAATTTCTTCTTCTTGATCATTTTTAAAAATAACTTTGTTATCTTTTAAGTATTTTATTCCCGGTGCTTGGCTCATATTTTCTGGTAGAGCAGAAACTAGCGGATTCTTGTTGTGGCTTAAAATCACTCGCCTTGCACAAGGCGCAATATCAAGTGCCACATCAATTCCTGATGCACCAGCTCCAAGTAATACAATGTTCTTGTCTTTGTAATCTTCTGGATGCCGGTAGTGATGACTGTGTACAATGTTGCCATGGAAACTACTCATTCCTTGGATGTTTGGAATTTGGGGTTCAGCGTAGTGTCTAAAAAAAAGAAATGGTTTTATTACATCAAGTTGTGAATACTAACAAAGTAACCAAAACAAGCAGCCTGTCGGCTGAGATAGCTCCGCTGTTAGCAATGCACATGGCAGTTAAAGAACAGAAGATATCATTAGAAAATGAACAAATCTGAGAGAGGTCCACATGTAGTACCTATATGTATAATATATCAAAGCAATTGGACTTGCGGTTTTTAACAAGAAGTCGAAAATATCACTTTTTACCAAAAATGACAAAAATATTCACCAAAATTAGAAAATTAAAGATATCATTACAAAATGAACAAATCTGAGAGAGGTCCACATGTAGTACCTATATATGTAATATCAAAACAATTGGACTTGCGGTTTTTAACAAGAAGTTGAAAATATCACTTTTTACAAAAAATTACAAAAATATTCACCAAAATTGGAGAATTGAAGATATCATTACGAAATGAACAAATCTGAGTAAGGTCGACATGTAGTACCTATATATGTAATATCAAAGCAATTGGATTTGCGGTTTTCAACAAGAAGTTGAAAATATCACTTTTCACCAAAAATGACAAAAATATTCACCAAAATTAGAGAATTGAAGATATCATCATGAAATGAACAAATCTGAAAGAGGTCTACCCAAGGTACATATACACCAAGTATCAAAGCATTCAGGCTGGTAGTTTTCAAGAAGAAGTCGAAAAAATAAAACATTGACACGGACGACGGACAATCACTCATATGATAAAGCTCCGCTCGACAAAGTCGACTGCGGAGCTAAAAAACCACAAGCATTTACACAAATAAATACAAATAATATTAATACATCACCATCGGAAAGCCGCCACAAATTGCTCCTATCATTTATTTTTTGAAAATTCTTTTTAGTATTTTCAACTTCATGTTTTTGCGAGCAATTGCAACTCTCTCAAGAATAAAAATTGGTGTTTCTCAAATAAACAAACCCATGTGATTCTGTTTATGATTTGTACACAATGGTGTCAGACAATGATAATGTGAATATTGATCAAACACATTTGAATGGTTTAAAAAACATGCACCCATACAATACATATTCTTACCCATTGCAAACAATGACTGCATCAAACTGTTGAGTCTCAATATCATCACTAGACTGTTCAATGCCACGGAAACCAACATCCCATATTACTTGGTTTTCTTTAGAACTAGTAATAACTGGTTTGATATGGTCAACGCACGTTTTGAACTAAAAACAAAAAAAGACAATTGTACATATTGTTTTTAAAACTGGTTTTATGGTAATCCAACACACCGTGAGTGGTACTGGAGAAATCAGACATGTCAAAGGTTGTGTTACAGTTTTCCAACACACCATGGGTGGTTTTGGAAAGTCTGACATTCCAGTGCATGGTTTTAACGTCTGACATACAGTTGGTAAAAAATTAGAGAAGTCCAACACAGCAAGAGTGAGTTTAGAGAAAGCTGACATACTGAGGGTTTTACAAAGCAGAAACAGATTATTTACCTTAATGAATTTGTTGAGATCAAAATGTTGTGCATAATCTTTCAAGTATTGCAGAACTTGTTGGTGGGTGAGAAATGATGGGAGTGTCTTGTCAAAGGGAAAATCAGGAAATGCCATCACTTCCTTTGGTAAGTTGGTTCTGAAAACAATATGTTGAAGTAATCTGAGCCACGAAATAATAATTGGGATATATGTTGCTCTGGCAATGAAAGTGACGCAAACTAATGTTTACATTTATTTTGGGTAAAACATCATAAAAAGTTGTTTTTCCGAAATCTTTACTGCATGTTTGTAGACATCACTATTTTTAATTCTCCCAACCTCATTCTGGCAATGAACGGGATTTGTTTTTCCAACTGTTTCATTTGTCAATTGTGAATAAAAATGAAATGTGTGATACTACGGATAGAATTACCACAAAATTGCGTGAAATTTTGTCAATACTATAATCAGAAGTATATTGAAGACCTCATAAATGAATCATTTTTTAATCACAGGTGATAAACTGACAGTAAAGCACTGTACAAGTAAAAATGTTCTGGTATGCAAATAAATATGCTAATAAAATTAGGATTCACACACACAAATAACAATAGTGATGTCTTTTGAAGAAAGAGTTGCAGATTGGATACATAGGATAAATAGAATCTCAACATTTATGATATCAGATTTACTAATCTTGTGTTTGAATTTTACAAAAATTACTACCGGTACACCCATTCAATAAATCTGATATCATGGGTATGCATTGGATATCACATCAGTCTTAAACTGGACAATTTCCATGAATAAATGTTGTTAACTGCATAACTGGTTGGAACAAAAATTTGTTTCTTGTTCACAGATGTTCAACATTTTTTTAAATTTTCCTGAGGAAGGGGGTATTCAATGCATTTGGGCAGAAGCACCAGCAACCCACTACCCTCAAACCCATAAGGTGTCACGGCCAGTCTAGTTTGAAGAAAAAGAATACTCTCAACCCACCCCATCCAATCCTACCACACCCCATCCCCCCATAAGTAAGCACATATCATGTTTGATAATTTGAATTCCAAGGAGCATTAACCTTTTCACCACCAGACTTCCTTGCCCAAATTTTTCTGACTTTTTTTCTTATATTCTTCAATATTTTTGAAAATTAACCCTAATTTTTAAGCCAACAGACCAAATTTGAGTCAATTTTCAGTTTTTACTCAAAAAATGTGGCTATGACACGAAGAGCATAGAAAACTTTCCCTGGTATATTTCAAAGCAAAATCGCCATCCAACTGTAAAGACCGTCGCTGATTAGCTCATTAAGTATGAGGATCGTCCCCTACTGTTAGATTCGTCTTAAGTGGGCGTGACTGCAAGACGGCGCCAGCGAGATTCGAAAGCCAACCGTTTAGTCAAAACCCAAGCAGTTAGCCAATTCGCTAGCGAGTTTGCAAATTGGCTGCCCCAATACTTCTGAGACTTGCTGTAAGAGATATGGCTCTAGAAGCCCAATCTTTAAAACAAAATGGCTGCCAGTCAGCCATTTTGAATCCAATCTGAAAAATAAAATGACGTGCATCAGGAACCCATAATGTCTAATGTATGTTTGAACGAAATCCATCTGTAAACAACCGAGAAATGCTTGATTTTTAGGATTTTTTAGCACAAAAATGGCCACCATTCGGCCATCTTGAATCAGACCGTGAAACAAATTGACGTGCATATGTATAATATCATGTATGATGTATGTGTGAAGTTTGATTGTGATTGGTCCAGACATTTCTAAGATACAGGTTCGTACGCACACACGAACACACAGAGGTCAAAACATAAGTTTTGTGTCCGAACGAGGACTAATAATAATGATATCATAACACAAGCCAAAATAGAGATGTATAAAAAAAATCATCTAACATAAATCAGTCTGAAAATGAAATTTTTTTACCATTTTCCATAACATATGATATTTGGTATTCCAACGGCAATAACATAAAAATGAACGATATACAATTTACTTCAAACTCACTTCAAAGGCAGTTTAAGCCAAATTCAAATTTAGCATAACTGAACATGTTACTGCAAATATGCGTATTTCATTACATTTTTGATATCGATAACAAAAGTATGACAAACATAAGATGTATTATTCAATTCCACTCAAAACTCTTTTAACATATTTAAAATGTGTTTCATCTCCAAATATTATCATGACAGTCCCATACACTACAAAGTACATGTATATGTAGGTTGTGAGCCCTTAATTTATCTACCCTTGTTAATCATGCAACTCACTTCAGATTCTTGTACATACTGGAATGGACAGTGAATCCATATTTATTTTTTTCTACATCTTCAGTGTAAATCCATGTACCGCCGACTTGCTCTTCTTTTTCAAATACATGCGGTTGAAAGAGATGTGGTTTACTCGCTAAATGTCTTGCGGCGCACAGTCCGGCTGCCCCGGCTCCAATCACAGCTACCTGTAATATCTTTGATGCGTCCCCGGCCATTATGACTTACACCTGAACAGAAAGAGAAATAAGTTTGAAATGCAGCGTTGTGATTCCACATGATTTTAATATAAAGAATTCAATACAATTTCACCTTAAGAACTAAAGTTCTCCAAATACACTGGTTCAGTGTTGCTACTCATATAATAGAGTGCTCAACAAAAAAAGAACCATGGTCATCACGCACAGCTGTGTCAACAATGCATACACACTTTGTTCATGTTGCATGGGACCCACACTATGTATACATAAGATCCATATTATAACATAGTATAAAGGTTAAAGTGGCATACAACTTGTGTGTTTGTAAGTGTACCCTATAACAGAGACAATGATTGAATTCTAAAACCATTTGTTATTGGTGGAATTCTTAGTGTATATGATATTGTGACCTTAATTGACTCTCTTACAACGGGATGTACAGAATACATGGAATACAAGAAGTACATGGTGTGGGTGAAATCAATGTAATAGACGTTAGTTTGGTTGTGTCAAGTTAATCGTCAAGAGTCGTTGATACAAGTATGATTGGTTTTAGTTTTTACTGTAGCGTTAAAACATGTATTCAAATTTCTGATTGAATGTTTCAAACCGACGTGACCTTTGGAGACAACGTAATTGACCGCAATTTATGTTCACAGTACATTTCCTGGATTACTGTTATAAATTAACTACCTGTAGTTCTTGAATGTGAAACGAAAAGCATTGTAACTGAGAAAAAAATTAATTGTTCTATTATTAATTAATTTCTTTTCTTTTGATCTGTGCATATTGTATTTTATAACGTTGAAATGACAAATCTTTTAAAACTTATTAAAATTTGTGTGTGCAATGAATAAAATTATCCCAAATTAAATGAAAATCAATAAATGACATGGAAAATTACTAAGTAAACTTAAGAATTAAGATACTGTTACAAAAGAAATTACATAAATGTACTGTAAAATGTAAATGTTGAAGGTTTTTTTTTTGGTATTGTATACAGAAGAATATAATTGTTCCTAAGACACTTTTGTTTGTTTGTTTACTTCCAAATTATCAGAAAGCTTGTTCGCTTGCAAACCAGTCAGAAATCACTTTGCTTATTAACAAATTAAAATAGGCTATATCAACTAGAAGCACAAACTTTTCATCCCTTTCCCAATCCTGCCAGTCTAAAAGCAGTGGGAAGAGCCAGCCAATTCTTAATTCAGTACAAGAGTAAAGTGATTCGTACCGACATTATAAATCTATTTTACGAGGAACCTGTCCAATAAAATGAAAAACAATTACACACAGTTCCACAGACTATATATGTACTATAAACTATAAATAAATTAGTAGTCTTCATCACTAATACAAATTTCAGATATTTTCTCACCGTGGGAAACAATTTTAAAAATGAAAACATACTTTCATGAGCAAAATAACAAAACATGATTTTTTTCTATAAATTTAAAGATTCCACATCAGAGGTTTTTCTAGGAAAAATTAACAAGAGGCGATCGACCTGGAAACGCCATATCGGAAGGTTTCTACACCGTTTTAACGGTGTATCTATCGCCAGTTAAATATTTTTGGAGTAATTTTAGTGTATTTGGTGTCCAGACACATTGTCAACTGGTGTTGCTGGGATGTTTTCACGAAGAAAAATATATTTGAGAAAAATTTCATGTTGTACGGCAGTACAGAAGTGCGCGGCTCAAGAAATATATTTATGACTTGAAAGTTCAATCGTCAATTCAGTAAGAGGGCGCCAGCCGAGAGTATCAGGACGGTGCGCCCCTGTTCCCCGGTTACGAAAAAAAAACTCTGCACATGATTTATAAGTGTTAAGACTATAAAACCATTTTCTGTTCACCTTGGTTCACATTTGAAAGTTTAGTGTTGGAATAAAAACTAACTATTATGTTAATAGTAACATTTATGAAAATAGGAAATTTCAAATATCTTTTCCAATCAATGCACATACAAAAAAACAACACACAACCTTAATTTTATTTGCATTCTGTGTAATAAACGTGGTTGGATTTGATGTGCAGGAACTCTCTACAACTGCTGTATCATAAATATTTACAAATAGGTCCGTACCCCCTCCGTTTTTTTTATTTTTTAAGTCTAATTCATGATACATTGTTTCATTTTCTTGAGTTTCAACCTGGAAAAAAATGTTGTACATGTATTATCTGAAATGGGGTACCCCTTTTTCCTTATTTCTGTCAGAGAAGGGGTTTATAGTTTCGAAAAACTGTCTCTAGAGCTTGAGTGATCCAACAATCAGGAGAATGAAGCTGATTTTTTCTTTATGTAACTTCATTTCGATCGAAAGTCCATCCCCGGGAGTCCACCTGCTTTCCACTTGGTACTTGCTTACTGTCTGGAAAGGGGTGTCAAATACCCACAGTTTGTCTAAAAAGGGGTATGCAATTGGAGTTTATTTCTGTCTGATAAGGGGTAGGGGTTTCAAACCACCAGCTACACACCCCTGTCAGTATTTTTTGCAATCAGTGTATTAGGCTACATTTTGTGTTCATTCTATATTCTGTATTCACCATTGGCTGCAAATTGTCTTTATTGTTTTTGATTTGTTTTATTTTTTTAGAAAAGTTTTTATTTTTTGTTTTATTTTTTAGATTGTATTTTTTTTAATTTCTTTCTGTAAGACCCTTTTTATCCTTTCCTAAGGATTTTATGCGTCTAATAAAAAAATAAATAAATATATTATTACAGAGTGCACCAATCATGTCTGTAACTGTAACATACTTTGAACTTCATCAATGAATGCTCTCTTTCCCAACAAGTTTGTGTGATAACCAAGATGACAGTAAATAAGTAATTAATGTTGACAGACCTTGGCAATGAACCCATACTGTTGACAGACCTTGGCAATGAACCCATACTGTTGACAGACCTTGGCAATGAACCCATACTGTTGACAGACCTTGGCAATGAACCAATACTGTTGACAGACCTTGGCAATGAACCAATACTGTTGACAGACCTTGGCAATGAACCCATACTGTTGACAGACCTTGGCAATGAACCCATACTGTTGACAGACCTTGGCAATGAACCAATACTGTTGACAGACCTTGGCAATGAACCCATACTGTTGACAGACCTTGGCAATGAACCCATACTGTTGACAGACCTTGGCAATGAACCCATACTGTTGACAGACCTTGGCAATGAACCCATACTGTTGACAGACCTTGGCAATGAACCCATACTGTTGACAGACCTTGGCAATGAACCCATACTGTTGACAGACCTTGGCAATGAACCCATACTGTTGACAGACCTTGGCAATGAACCCATACATTATCAATTAAATTTAACAAAGAAATAAAAAACATTTTCTTTACAGGAAGCAAAACATTATCGACATGCAAATCTCCCTGAGAGTGAAAAAAAATCCACTACATGAACAATTACGCCCCCTCCCCGAACAAAACTTGAAAGTCACCGTGACTGACACTATCTGTGGCTATTTTACCCCGTAATGGTTCATCACTATATAGCCGGTATTTTATTCAAAGTGGATTTTGAGCAGCTACCGACTGAATTCAAAATCACTACCCCCACCTTAAAAACATACACACACGTCAAACAGAAATACTAAGCAGTGAATGTATCTATGAACTTGGCTTTCCTCTGATCTAGCACGTGTACATTTAACACATCCAATCCAAGGACACACATTCAAAAGGTTACAAGTCAGATTACACGTACATGTACTCGGATATAGACATGCCCAAATACATACACTGAAAACCAATGTCAATGCGATCCATTGAACTGGTTCGCCTAGGCCAATCTTTGAACAAGGGAGAATGGGGAAAAGAACAGTGTTATAATTAGAGATTGAACTTGTACTTACTAAATACAGCAATAAAACCTTGATAAATGCACGTACACACGGAAGGCTTGCATCATTCAAACAGCTGTTTAAAGCTAACGTTGGTGGCGTCCTCTGTACAAACCCGGATATTTGCTTAAGAGTGTCTGTGAAATAATGCCTACCAACACATTTCACGCTTTGGATTTGTGTTCCACTAAAATAGAAAGTTATTGTTTTTTTTCGTTCGAAAGGATTTTTCGTATCCGCCCACCTATCTCGAAACAGTCGACTGTTTCCGGCTCTAGCCGAAGTAAATTTGCGCCACCAAGCGTAAATATATGAGAGAAAACCATACTCATGTACTAAACTTTTATAACACTAGTACTACGATAAATAGTTTTCGGGCAGCGCTTGCTCAGTGGCAGCGGCACAGTTGAATAGAAATTTCTGTTTTGATCCTCAAAATGCAGGAAATAGCGTTTCCAGGGTCTAGACTTCAAAATTTCCCCGGAGGAACATGCCCGGGCCCCCGTAGTAAGGTCGCGCCTTTGGTGCGATGGATGGTGAGCAGACCCCCCCCCCCCATTCAAAATTTCGTGCCGCCGCCTATGTTATTTTTAAGGCTAGTATTACTTGTATTACTAGTCTGAGGTTGTTTTAATGTGTATTGTAATAGTGTGAGAATTTACGCGTTTCCAAACGATCCAAAAGTGTGACATCAGTGAACGAAAGCTGTAACATTAAAGGGCGGTGGTCGTCGCG